GCGAAATCTTAAGAAAACCATAGGTTCTTCAATATTTTCACAACATGCTACCAAACGGGCGACGCGCGCGCATGTCGAAATCTGTCGAACGCCCTTGCGCGTGTGCCGTCGCGAGAATCCTCTGCAAAAAGTGGCACGAAGTGCAGACGCGCGCGTCGTCGCGCGCGTATGCCGAAATCCTTCAAAAACCCTCGGTTCCGGAAGGATTTCAAAATCGTGTCCCAAACACCTACAAAAATACAAGGTTTCGCAATACTGATTTTCAACAAAGCGTGCGCGCGCGCTCTTGCGTCGTCGTCGTCGTCGTCGCCGTCCTCCCTCCTCCGTCGTCGTCGTCGTCGGCGTCGTCGTTCTCTGTCTTTCCTCGTCGTCGTCGTCTTGGCGTCGTCGTCGTTTCCGTCGTCGTTGTCGCCGTGGTCGTCGTTTCCTCTTCCCTCGACGTCGTCGTCCGTTGTCGGCGTCTCGTCGTCGACCCTCCTATTTTGTCGCCGTCGTCGTCGTCGTCGTCTTCCGTCCTCCCTCGTCGTTGTCGTCGTCAGCGTCGCCGTCTTCCCTCCTTCTTCGTCGTTCGCGTTGTCGCCGTCCTCCCTCCTTTCTCGTCGGTGTCGTCGTTGTCGTCGTCGTCGTCCTCCCTCCTCCCTCGTCGTCGTCGTCGTCGTTGGCGACGTCGTTGTCGTCGTCGTCGTTGTCTTCGTCGTCGGCGTCGTCGTCGTCGGCGTCGTCGTCGTCGTCGGCGTTGTCATCGTCGTCGTCGGCGTCGTTGTCGTCGTCGTCGTCGGTGTCGCCGTCGTCGTCGTCGTCGTTGTCGTCGTCGAAGTCATTGGAGACGTCGTCGGTGTCGTCGTAGTCGGTGTCGGCGGCGCCGTCGTCGTCGTTGTCGCTGTCGTCGTCGGCGTCGGTGTCGTGGCCAAGTGCCATGTGGTACCTACCGTCACGGTCTTGTCTTCAGAGGCCTTGCGACCAAGTTGCGGGTGGGAGGGTGGGATGTTTGCACGAGCAGCGGAGAGGACAGCTTCAAGACGGTCAAAGTGATTGATTCTCTTTTCTAAAAAACTAATAGATTCTACCCCCCTCCCCCCCCGGAGTTATCGCCTCCCCCTGGGATAGTATGATGTCATAATATATATATATATATATATATATATATATATATATATATTCTGCACACCCGTCCACCCTAAATATGAAAGCATACCATCCCAGCCAAATCGGGTTCCCCCCCTGAGGTTCCTTTGTAAAAAACACTATGCGGTGACATTGTTTGTTCTAACATAACACTGTGTCACGAATCCCTCGCAAAAAATGGGACGAAGTGCACACGCGCGCGTCGTTGCGCGCGCATGCCGACATCCTTCAAAAACCTTCGGTGCGGGAAGGATTTCGCAATCGAGTTTCGAAAAAAAACTACAAAAACGCAAGGTTTCGCAACACAGAGTTGCTAAAAAAGCTTCCGCGAAAGCTCTTGCGAAATCTTAAGAAAAGCATAGGTGTTTCAAGATTTTCACAAAATTCTACCAAACGGGCTTCGCGCGCGCTCATGTCGAAATCTGTCGAACGCCCTTGCGCGTGTGTCGTCCGAGAATCCCTTGCAAAAAATGGGACGAAGTGCAGACGCGCGCGTCGTCGCGCGCGTACGCCGAAAACTTTCAAAACCCATTGGTGTCGGAAGGATTTCAAAATCGTGTGTCCAAAAAAACATACACAAACCCCAAGTTTCGCAACATGGATGTTCAACAAAAGCGTGCGCGCGCGCTCTTGCGTCGTCGTCGTCGTCGTCGTCGCCGTCCTCCCTCCTTCCGCGTCGTTGTCGTCGTCGTCGTCGCCTACGTCGTCCTCTGTCTTTCCTCGTGTTCGTCGTCGTCGTCCTCTTTGGCGTCGTGGTCGTTTCCGTCGTCGTTGTCGCCGTGGTCGTCTTTCCTCCTCCTCCCTCGTCGTCGTCGTCGTCCGTCGTCGGCGTCCCGTCGTCGTCCCTCCTATTTCGTCGTCGTCGTCGTCGTCGTCGTCGTCGTCGCCGTCCTCCCTCCTCCCTCGTCGTTGTCGTCGTTGTCGCCGTCGTCGTCCTCCCTCCTTCCTCGTTGCCTTCGTTGGCGACGTCGTCGTCTTCGTCGTCGGCGTCGACGTCGTTGTCGTCTTCGTCGACGTCGACGTCGGCGTCGTCGTCGTAGCCGCCGTCGTCGTCGTCGTCGGCGTCGGCGTCGGCGTCGTTGACGTCGTCGTCGTCGGTGTCGTCGTTATCGTCGGCGCCGTCATCGTCGTCGTCGTTGTCATCGTCGTCGTCGTCGGCGTCGGTGTCGTCGTCGTCGGAGTCGGAGTCGTCGTCGTCGTCGTCGTCGTCGTTGTCGGCGTCGTCGAAGTCGTTGGAGACGTCGTCGGTGTCGTCGTAGTCGTTGCTGGCGGCGTCGTCATCGTCGTTGTCGCTGTCGTTGTCGGCGTCGCTGCTGTTGCCAAGTGCCAAGTGGTACCCACCGTCACGGTCTTAAGAGCTTTTGCGGACCAAGTTGCGGGTGGGTGGGCGGGATGTTTGCGCGAGCAGTGGAGTGGACAACTCACTGCGAAGAGAAATTAATTGCACCACATAGATTGCACAGCATAGGTCGCAGCCGTTGTGTTGCATCTCATTGTTTGCACCGCCTTTGTTGCTCAACATACGTCGCACATTCTGTATTGTACAACAGAGACTGCACCGCGTATATTGCACAACCTAGATCGCACAACATGGGTTGCACAACATATAGTTAGTGAACGACCTAAATTCTTTTTTTCTACAGAGATTAGATCCCACTACCCTCCCGAGGCCAGACTTATCGGCACCCCGTGGGGATGTGCAATTTACATGCGATTTTGCCCCATCGACCATCCTAAAAACAAACTCGCACCATCCCAGGGGGGCTGGTATCTCCCCCCTTCATCCCCTGCAAAAAATACTATGCCCGCACACTCGTTCATCAACTGTCATCAACTGTCAAGAACCCCCTGCAAAAAAGGGACGAAGTGCACACGCGCACGTCGTCGCGCGCGCATGCCAAAACCCTCCAAAAAGGTGTCGTAAGGACTTCAAGATCGAATGTCCCAAACATATATAGAAAAGCACAAGGTTGCGCAATACGGTTGTCAAAAAAAATTGCGCGCTTGCGAATTTTTGAAAAAACAAGCATCGGTTTCATCATTTTCAAAAACTGCTACCACATGGGTTTCGCGCGCGCATGCTGAAATCGTCCGAATGCCCTTGCGCGCGTGCCGTCGCGAGAACCCTTTGCAAAAAATGGGACGAAGAGTACACGCGCGCGTTGTCGCGCGCGCATGCCGAAATCCTACAACAATTTCAGTCGTCGTAACGATTTCAAAACCGAGTGTCTTGTCAAAAAAGCGTGCGCTTGCGCTCTAGCGAATCCGGCAGAAAACCACAGGTTTTTCACATGTCCATGGAATTCCGCCAAACGGGCCTCTGGCGCCGCATGCCGGCATCATTCGCACGCCTGTACGCGCCCGCGCGTGCTGGGGAGGCACGATCCGTGTAAAATAATACCATGCGTGCCACTCGCGCGTCGGCCGCGTGCGCATATCGAACTCTTTCCAAAACGTGTATCACCGACGCGAGGACGCCGTCATCGTCGTCGGCGTGATCAGCATTTGCGCCCGCACTGGCCGGGCCGTCGCCGTTGTCAGCATCGTCACCAGCATCGCTACTATCATCATTGTGTCTACCCTACCGTCGTCGAAGTTGCCATGATACCGCGACCGCCCAAGTTGCCGACTCGTATTGAAGTGCCTGCTGGGATGTGCCCAGCGGCCAGCGCCACGCATCGCAATCACCACAGCATGGGTTTTGCAAACCAGGTTGCGGGTGGGTGGGGTGGGTGGGTGGGATGTGTGCAAGAGCACGGGAGGTGGTCAAGCGCGGTGCAGGATAGTCAATCACACGGCACACATTGCACCACAAAGATTTCACCCTATGCGTATATATACATACATATATACACACAAATATAATATATATATATATATATACACGTGTTGTACCACATAGATTGCACATGGGTTGTTGCACATGTGTTGCACAACATAAGTTGCTAGACACACACTGGTTGGGGCCCACGCTGGCTAACATTGCTTATGTACTGAGCAAGTGTGGAGAGAAGGTGGAGGCGGTTCACTTCCGGGGTGAGGCACCCCTTTTCCCAGGGTTGAGTGTGGGGTCGTGGGCCGCCGCGTTCATTGTGCGCCCTGGCACCAGACTGGTTGCCCCCCATTACGATCGCTGTCATATGTTCCGGCCTCACGACGAAAACAACGAAATGGCCTTAACATTTGTTTGTTGTATATTGGGGTCACATACCAATTGTAAAGTCCCACTCTCCTTCCCCCCCTCCCTCCTTCGTCTTCAACCTCCCCAGATTGCCCTCCTCCATCCCTCTCTCCGACTGCCTCCCTCACTCACCCGCTTCCCCCCTCGAAGACATCTACTCATCTTCCCATCTCTCTTTCTCTCTCTCTCTCTCTCTCTGAGTGAGAGATGCCGCTAAAGGGGCCAGCGCCTACCCAGGTCGACCAACCAGCCAGCTTCCCCTCTCATCCCTCCCCTCGCTCCTCAGCCCTCACATCCCCCATCGCTCCTCATCTATCCCTTCCCAATCGTTCATCCTCCTCGCTCCGCGCTTCCTTCGCTTCTCCTTTCCTCTTCCGCAGCCACAGCATCACCACCTCCGGCGTGCCGTCCCAGCTCAAGGAGGGCGCACTGAAAGGGGGCGCGAGGCCAACCGGGCGGGATTCCTTGAGCCGCTCGCGGCGGAGCGCCGGCGCGGCGCACGAGGCGCGAGCTCGAGGGAAGAAACACCATGACCATGACCAAGATGTCGTGGGATCTTGTCGACGCCGATCTTGGTCATGGCCCATGCTGGCCGTCGCCGATTCGCGAGGATGATCCACGAATTGACGATGCATTCTGTCAGTCTTGGTCGTGGTCCCTCGCTTCTTCCCTCCACCAGCTAAGGGGGCCCGCGATGGACCCGCAGCTCGCTGCCATGCTCGGCGCCCTGGGCGGCGGCGGCGGCGGCGGTGTTCGGGGGCCGCCCAGAAAGGTCGTATTCCGAGTGCGGGGCGTCGGCCTGGGCAGGGAGGGACGTCGGTTGGGCCGTCGGTCGGTCCGTGCTCGTGCCCGTCCTGGCGGGAGGCCTCTCGCCGCCGCAGCTGGCTTCCATTCGAGATTCTGGTCAGAACTTGGCATCGCTCGGACGTGTGTGTTTTTTTCCCTGGGCGAAGACCATCGAGGAGCATCTTGGATCATCTCGCGGAAGCATAAACGGACGTCCGAGCGATGGCGAGAGAACGCACCCGAGGATTGGTCCGCGGGTCGAACCTCAAACCCTGGAACCAGACACCCTTGCGTCGCAAAAATATCGCAGCGGGATATCTGTTCTGCAATTTTCTGACCCACGGGGTCTTCAGCAAGCTCCAGGGCCATCGAGAGGGCATTCGGGATGAAAAGTCGGTCCCAGCGAAAAAATCGCGGCGGCGGGGATCTGCGGACGCCCAAGCCAGGGAGGCATCCACACCGATCCTGGGCCCAGGATCGGCCCGGCTGGGATCGTTGAGGTGGGCAACGGACGGCCTCCGAGGTGGCGGCGGCGGCGCACCCATGACGGGCGCCGGGCAAACGTGCCGATCTGCCGCTGCGCTTGCACGTGCTGTTTCATGTCGTCTCTGGAAAGCCATGGGATCCCTGCGGACGGATGCAGCTCGAAGAGCCAGCCTTGATGGCGCAAGTGTAACACCAGGGGCTTCCTCGCCTCCTTCCATCCCTCCCCTCTCCGTCCCGTTTCCTTCACCATCCCTCACCTTCGGCCTCATCCTGCCGCCTCATCCCCCCTCCCCTCTCAGGAGGAGCAGTACTGGACGCGTTCTCGCACTGCACGCATGCTGACCCACCCATCACCTGGACTGTTCGGGGATTGGACTACCAGTTAGGAAGTCGCAGTTAGGAAGTCGCCAGCGAGCTCGGTCACAAACGCTGCCCCCCATACACACACACTCACACACATACGCACGCACGCACGCACGCACGCACGCACGCACGCACACACACACACACACACACACACACACACATTGTAAGGAACACTTCTGCTTGCCTTCGTGAAACTATGATTTCCTCGACGGTCAGGTCTGTTGGCCAAAGGTCTAGGGCACGTTGGGCATATGCTTATCTTGCCTTCAAGCTGCTCCCTGGTTGCAGTGGGATTGCACTTCGGTTGTGCTGGAGGGCGCGTGCAGACTAGCTCCCGCATTGGCGGCCTTATCCGTTGTACTCTTGCAGACAAGCATTAACGAAGGCACATGCTGGTGTGCAGCTATTGTGGGTAAGCGTAAGTGTCAACGCGCATGAGCGATGACCCTGGGCTGCAAACTTCCGCATGAAATGATGTACTGCGTGGATCTGGAAGTATTGGATGCTGCATGACAGAAGGAACATTATCATAGCGAGATGCTGCCACGATGACAAAAATCAGATTTGATAGTGTCGCGATCACTTGCCAATGCGTTCGTGTCTCTAAAGGGTTGGGGCAGATGTCGACCCATCTAGCTTACAGTTCTGGCCGTGAGGCCGCCTTCAGGGGAGACCTTCGTGATTCCCCAGCCAGCACGGTCAGAACACTTGCGGCGCGAGTCAAACATGTTACCCCAACATAGACCTTAGCTTTTGAAGGCTGCCTCAAGATCAAACTTCTCCCACAACTACAGCTTAAAGCGTTCATGTATTAACCCCCGTGAAGGCTACCCTGGAAGTCAGGATTGGGCTGAAGCCAACATCCCAGCGTTGCAGGCGTCCAGCATGGACATCACTGCTTCAAAGTCATCCGGCAACCTGCCACTTCGAAGCGGGCGAGTCAGAAGGCAACGAATCAGACGGTGATGGGGTGATGGAGATCATCTGCATGGCTTCCACAGGGACATGCAGCATCATCAGTTAAATAATAGTGATATTGAAGACGCATCTTGGACCAAACCGCACAGGATAGAAAGGCAGATAAGAGCCTCCTGTTGACTGGCAGACAAGCGTTTGTCTTGAAGAGATTCACGAGCGATGCTTAGATCCAGGGTATCACCACTCGATGTTCACAATGTTCAGAAAATCGATGCGAAGTTTCTCCTGTTCTCACTGTTTTTCAGGAGCCTCTGGAACATCCGAAGAAAGGCGTACGCAAGCGCGTCACCCCAAGTTATTGCTTACGACGGCCAGAGAAAAGAAGGACTACCCCCATCCTTTGGCGTGACAGAGCTGGTTCTCAAAAAGGTTCACGAGCCCGTCCCAATGTATCAGGTAGGTTGTTGAAGATGCCATGCGCGAGCCCCCCCCCCCAGCTTGGAAAAGGGCCAGTCCTTCTGCATCCGAGCATATGCGTGGCTCTTCCATACCTAAGTAGACAACGTCCGAAATGGGGGCTGGAACTTGTTTCCACAGAGGACTGCCCAACAAATACCAATCCGGAATGCCCAGATGTTATTGAAGGTGTGTCCCAGATAGCCCACATCCAGAGGCCGTGCCCACCTCGCTCGTACATAACCAACCAGAGCATCCCTCCTTGCAACACTCCACATAGCTGCGCGAGCGGCATCGTACAGTGTAAGGAGGGAAAGCAGAAATCACGAGGCTTCAAGGGGGAGCTGAAGGTTGAGTGGAAGCCCCCGTGAGGAGGCTTACTTACGGAGGCTTAGGCCAAAAAGGCTACGGGGAACGGAATTTGGGATAAGGGGGAGGGGAAGGGGGAGGAGGAGGAGGAGGAGGAGGAGGAGGAGAAGCTAGGGAGGACGAGGAGGAGAAGGGCGGAGGGCTTGCTTGGCTTTCCTTTTGTGGCGAGAGGGCAACTGAGCCCAGCAGCTGAGGCTGGGGCCTCGTAAGCATCGGCCTATGCTGCCCTTGGACCTTCCATTTGCTATGGTTGTGAAAAAAGTCGGCCGAGGATGTCCCCTGCAATGCTCGACGGCCTCTGGGACATGCCCATGATCACCAGCATCGCCTTCCACCCGCGGCCCGAGGTGGCGGCTCACATGGGCGCAACCAGTGGCCCGCTGAGGCAAGGCGTTTTCGAAGTCGCGGGGGGCGACAAAGTGAGCTACAGCCTCTACCTCCCAGAGGAGGGTGAAGTTGTTAAGGTTGTGGTGTTCAACTTCCATGGGAACGCCGAGGTGTGCACGGACATCGGCATGGAGGCGGGGCTGTTCCACCGCGTCGGCGCCGCTTTGCTATCCATTGACTACCGCGGCTACGCTTGGGGCACTGGGCAGCCAAGCCTCACGAAGTTGTGCAACGACGCTTCAAATTGCTTCGAGGCTGCCGGCAAGGTGCTTAGCGACGCGGGCATCGATGACGCGAAGCGGGTTGTAATGGGGAGGTCCATCGGTGCCACCTGCGCTGTGCACTTGGCCGCCATGCACGCCGCTGACGTTTATGGCCTCGTGATTGATAGCGGTCTGATGTCCATCAAGGAACTCCCCATGGTGGCGTCGATGGCACCCATGTTTTTGGGACCGCAGGCGCCCGCTGTATTTGCGCAGTTGAAGGAGCCGTTCGATACTTATGGCAAGCTTGCTGCCATCTCCTGCCCCACGTTGGTGATGCACGGCGATCGTGATCAGATCGTGGCCGTGGAGCAGGCTGTCAAGTGCCACGAGCGGCTCGCCTGTGGGGACAAGAAGCTGCGCCGCTGGGAGAGTGCGGGCCACAACGACGTCCTCGCCACGAACCTACAGGACTGGGAGGCAGAGGTCGTGGAGCTCATCCCGAAGAAGAAAAACATGAGTAGAACCTAAGCTGTCGGAGGTCCGCGCGGATTTCTTGGATCGGCGCTGGCCCCCCCACCCTGGCGCACAGTGCGCGCCAGGAACGGCGCCGGAGGCGCCGCCAGGGGAGCCCAGCGCCGACCCAAGAGGCGGCGCGAGGTCGCGAAAATAGCCGTGCATCGCGCATCGCGGGGCGCGATGCGCGAAGGTTGGTGACCTAGGAACCCCGTGGCGGCGCCTCCAGCGCCGCCCCTGGCGCGCACCGCGCGCCAGGGAGGGGGGTCTGACGCCGATCCGAGAAATCCGCTCGGAGCTCCGAAAGTTTGTGCTTGTGCCGTTTCTCTTCTTCGACCATCGGGAAGGCCGTGGCTTTCGACAACGCCTTCCCAGCGGGGGCGCTCGTGGAGGCCCGCACGCCCTCGGAGGGGGCCACGAGCGGCGCATGGGCCCGCGTGCTGGGGCCGCAGGGAGCGGGGCGCCTCAACGTGGAGCTGCCCGGCGGGGAGATCGGGGACAACGTCGGGGGGGGATGGGGTATAGGCTCAGGGGGGGGGGAGCGTCATCGAAAGTTTCCGAGTTTCCCGGGATTTGCGGGGCCCGGGGTTGTCTCCGTCAGTTGGCCCTCGTCGAGGGCGCTCCGGGGGAGCCGGGATCGTCCCAAACAGCCGCGGTGGAGCCGAGTTATGAATCGAGGACCAAGGGGCCACGTTGGAGGGACGATAGGCTCAGGAGGCAACGCATCGACCTCCAATCGCCCACTCATCGCCGATAGGGGCATGATAGCCCACCCAGCCCAGGAAGGTGCGGGCTTGCTATGAGGAGCATGTCGCCGATCTGTCGGCGATGTATCACTAATTCCAGATCGATGCTTCCCCCCCTGAGCCAGTCCCCCCCCAAGGTTGCCCCTAAGGAGAGGGTGCTGAGCGACACGAGCTTCAGGGTGGTACACAGGAACCCCTTCGCGGTGGGCGCGCAGGTCGAGGCGCACTCGCTCAGCTCGAGGAGCAATAAACATTGCATAAGCATAAGCTGTCGGAGCTCCGCGCGGATTTCTTGGATCGGAGCCGGGCTCCCCTCCCTGGCGCGCGCAGGGGCGGCGCCAGAGGCGCCGCCAGGGGATCCCAGCGCCGATCCAGGAAATCCGCGCTGAATTCCGAAATGTTCTGCTTGTGCCGTTTTTGTTCCTCCATCAGCGCCGCGGGGATGAACGGCATGAAAGGGACGGTCATCGGGCGCGGCGGCAAGGATTCTGATCGCATTCGTGTCAATTTCGGGGAGGCGGGCGAGAAGGCTGTGAAGCCTGCGAACCTGAAGCCGGTGGATTAGGAGGGAGCCAGAGCGGTGTGAAGGTAGAGGCTAGATTGGTAAAAGGCCCACGTCGAAGCGGGAGTGGTCAAGTGGGTGCGTCAGATCGGCAACGAGAGCCAGCAGAACGAGCCAGCGGCGGCTGCTGCTGTCTCGAGCGTTGCACCACCATTGTCGGCGGATGCATGCAGACAAGGCCTGCCACTTCCAGCTGACCAGGCTGCAGATACGGAGGCGCGGGTGCGCAACGGAAGAGCCATGGAAGAAAAAATGGACCCGGCGCGATCCCGATTAGGGGAAAGTCTCCCATTGCACGGGCGCGTTGCTTGGCACTGCTTGGCAGCACTCTGCACTGCTTTGCCTTGCTCAGCGTTGCCTTGCATTGCTTAGCGTTGCCTGCGATTGCTCGGTATGTTTGGCTTTGCTTGGCATTGCTTGGCACTGCTTGGCGACGGGGAACCCGAGGAACCTCCGAGGAACGGGCAACGTAACAATAGGAGGCACCAGGGGCGGGGAACCCGAGGAACCTGGGGAACCAGAGGAACCTCCGGGAAGCAGGCCACGCAACAAATTCGCCGGCCCAACGGGCCAGAGGCGTGCTAAGATCTCCGGTAACTGGTTAAGAATTCTCTAGTTCGCGCGCGCGGGGCGGCCCCTGGGGGTCCCCGGACGAAAAGTACCCCGGCAAGGTCCTGAGAGAGTCCCGAGAGGAGTCCCCCAGAGCGCTCCAGGAGCGCTCCATGAGCGCACCAACAGGGCTCCGAGACGTCCCCGAGAGCCCCAAGAAAGGCCAAGAGGCCCCCAAGAGGCCCCCAAGATGGTACACGAGGGGTCCGACATGCCACAAGATCGCTCCAAGACGCCCAAGATAGCCCCCAGACGCCCCAAGAGGCCTCCCAGAGCACTCCCAAGAGGGCCCCCGGAGGCAAAATTCATTGTTTTTCCTTAGGTTTTTGAAAGATTTTGGAGCTTCCACCTTTTCGGTTCCCGACGCCCCAAGACGGCCCCAGAGGCCCCCAAGATCGCCCCAAGAGGGCCCAAGAGGCCCCCAAGAGGGCCCCAAGATGGCCCAAGAGGGCTCGAAGACGGCCCAAGAAGCCTCCAAGACGGTCCAAGAGGGCCCCAAGAACACCCCCAAAGGGGCCCCAGAGAGGGAACACGAAACAAAATTTCGCGCCCTCGGCCCTAAGAAGCCCCTACGAGGCCCCAAGAGGCCCCTAAGAGGCCCCAAGAGGCCCCCACGAGGCCCTCAGGAGGCCCCCAAGAGTCCCCCAAGCGGCCCCAGGAGGCCCCCCAAATGCCCCCCCGAGCGCCCCAGGAGTCCCCCAAGCGGCCCCAGGAACCCCCAAAGCGCCGCATTGACACCAGGCCCTCGGGCAAACGGCAGACATGAGACCGTATGGGCCGGCGGAATGAGCGAAGCGATTCAATAAGAGGCATTGGGGGCAGGGAACCTGAGGAATTTGAGGAACCTCCGAGCAACGGGCAAATTAACAATAGGAGGCACCAACCTTTAACCAAGTAAGGGCCCCTTAGGCAAGCCTAATTGGGGAACAATGATGCGCGGTGCACATTGTTCATATTATCAGACGGCTATTACCTGATTGACTGCGAACAGATCATACACGCATCTTGTTTTCCTGACATTAGTGATAGTCCGAATCGACGACGCCTGCCTTTGGGAGGAGATAGGGAGGAGCAAAACAGACAGAAAATTATCCCGGCAAAGCAACCTAACAGCGATGTGTAGAAGCATATCTGAAAGCATTCCACTTAAGATTCAGAGTGCAAACATCTCAGTTGCCTCGAATTCCTCGTCCTGTCCTCCTCCTCCTCTCCTCCTCCTCCTCCTCCTCCTCCTCCTCCTCCTCCTCCTGGTACTCCTCCCCCTCCCCTCCTCCTCCTCCTCCTCCTCCTCTTCCTGGTCGTCCTCCTCCTCCTGGTCGTCCTCCTCCTCCTGCTCGTCCTCCTCCTCCTCCTGCTCGTCCTTCTTCTCCTGCTCCTCCTGCTCCTCGTCCTGCTCCTGCTCGTCCTCGTCCTCCTGGTCTTGCTCGTCCTCCTCCTCGTCGTGCTCTTGCCCCTGCTGAAAATGTGGCCCAGGAATGGGAGTTCTGGGAAGTCGAAGAGCACGAAGTTGCCTACAGTTGGCTACGGGCATTCAAAATGTGGCCCGGGAATGGAGTTCTGGGAACTCGAAGAGCACGAAGTGGCCTACAGTTGGCTCCGGGCATTCAAAATGTGGCCCGGGAATGGAGTTCTGGGAACTCGAAGAGCACGAAGTGGCCTACAGTTGGCTCCGGGCATCCATGTGGCCCGGGAAATGTGGCCGAAGGGAAGTGTGTGACTGTTGCTCCGGGAACTCGGGAAAGAGCACGAAGTGTGTGACTGTTGCATCCGGTTGTTCTAAATGTGGCCCGGGAATGGCGTTCTGGGATCTCGAAGAGCACGAAGTGTGTGACTGTTGCATCCGGGTATTGAGAATGTGGCCTGGGAATGGAGTTCTGGGAAGTCGAAGAGCACGAAGTGTGTGACTGTTGGTGAAAAACGAGCCCGGCACCTGCCGCCCGGCAACTCCAAACACCTGCCCGGACCCCCCTGTGGAGTGATCTGCTGCTCTCTTTTGATCCCACTAGAAACCTATCAGTCTTCGCTGTTAGGTAAAAAGGAAGCAACCACACAAAAGAAAAAAAAGAGAGATAGAGAGAGGAGAAGAGAAGAGACGATGTAAGAGAGAAGAGAGAAGAGGTAATAGAGGAGAAGATAAAAGACGAGGAAATAAGAGAAGCGATGAGAAGAGAGAAGACTGAAACCATAATATATCAGAGAGAAGAGATAATGGAAAAAGGAGAAGAGAGAAGAGAGAAGAGATAAGAGCGAAGAGAAGAGAAGAGAAGAGAAAGCAAAAAAGATAGGTAGAGACAGAGACAGGGACAGAGACAGGGAGAGGGAGGAGGAGGAGGAAGAGGAGGAGGAGGAGGAGGACCAGTATAAACCCAAGAGGCATCAACGATGTTGGAATAAACCCTCCCTCCAAACTCCCTCTTCACAGGCCCCTACAACAGTTCATTTCCACTGAGGGAGCTGCCGAGTTGGAACACAACCGTTTGAAGACCCTGAAGCATGCCAACACATTGTTCTCGGGATTCCAACGCCACGGATCAAACTGAGTGTTGCGTATTGACGTCTTGACGACCTCGAATCGTGCCAGAACGCACTGCCTGGGACTTCAATACCTCGAACCAACGTAATTGTTGCACCCTCATAATCCTCAGTCGTTCCAAAACACCATTTCTGGTATGCTGATCATGGAAATCCGCGAAAATCGTCCAGATTTGAGACAAGAAGAGAGGGAGGAACCAGAAGAAAATAAAAGTGCACGGCGCTGAGGCGAGAGCCACATGTTGAAAACGACCCGCCCTCAATCCGTGAAACTCTTGCAGTTGTCTTGATGCTTACTAACAATAACAACAACACAAGTACTACCCGTATATGTATATATAATGTATATATAACCTAAAATAACCATTTTTGTGTTGACAAAAAGCGGCGCCAAGACGAGCGCCACATTTTGAAAACGTGCCGCCCTCAATCCGTGAAACACTTGCAACGTGTTTAGAACGAATACGCGCGGCGCTCAGGCGAGGGCAACATTCTGAGGACACCTCAATCCGTGAAGCTCTTGCAAGCGTTTAAAACGAGTGTGCGCGGCGCGAAGGCGAGAGCCACATTTTGAAAACGGCCCTCCCTCCATCTGCGAAGCTGTTTCCAATGTTTAAGCTTCAGGGTCATAAATGATGAGGATGTCTCAGGCGAAACGCCCAGCCCGCCCTGAAAACAGGCTGCGGGGTGCGACAGGGAGAAGTTAGTTAGAAGGGAAAGGAATGGAGGAGGGGGAGGAGGAGGGGAGAGGGGTGGTGGGAACGGGGGGGAACGGGGGGAGGTGGAGGGGAAGGGGGAGGGGGAGGAGAAGGGTGAGGGGGAGGACGGGGAGAAAGAGGAGGAGGAGGAGGAGGAGGAAGAGGAGAAAGCGGGAGGAGGAGAGGGAGGGAGGATGATAAAGACGAGGAGGAGGCCTTTTGGGGGCCTCTAAGGGGTACCTTGGGAGGCCCCATGGGGCTTCTTTTGGCATCTGGGGGGGCTTGTTGGGCCGTCCCAGGGCTCTCTTGGCCCGTTTGCCGCCTGCGGTGGCCGTCTTGGAGGCTCTCTGGGTGCTCTTGGGGCGCTTTCGTGCCGTCTTGGGGCCTCTTGGGCCGCCTTGGCCCGTCTTGAGACCCTCTTGGGGGCTTCTTGGGCCGTCTTTGAGCTATCTTGGAGACCGTTGTGGCCGTCTTCGCCTGTCCGAAGCCCGGCGAGGAGAGCATGCGAAAATCTTACCAAAAATTGTGGGAAGTCAGTGCTGTCGAGTTGGCTGAAACAAACGTCTTTGGGGGCCTCTTGGGCCGCCTTTCGGCCATCTTGGGCCATCTTGGAGGCACACTGTGGCAATATCGGGGCCGTCTTGTAGGCGTGTTGGGACTGTCTTGGAGGCCAGCTTGGGCGGACAGGGCCCGTGCCTCCCACCCGTTCTGATTATTCCGGGTGGACGGCGGGTTGTGATGGAGGCCACCGGTAATTTTTTGCAGGGGCCCAAACGGTCAATTAGCATTCAGCACGCCGTGCACCCGTTTTCAAGCAACAGGGGACGACGGATCGAAGACACCTACGGCGAATCGCCGCTACCCCTGGCCCTTCTAGAAATGCCGATCTGGCCAAACGTGAGGCCAGGCTGGGCCAAGCGATTGGGCTATGGGTTCCCCCAGCCGTTGTGGAAACCAAAGAGGAGAACACTTCAGGAAGGAAGAGAGAGGAGGAGGGAGGAGAAGGAGGAGGAAGAGGAGGAGGAGGAGGAGAAAGGGGAAGCCTTTTGGGGCCTCATGGGGGCTTCCTGGGAGCTTGTTGAGGGCGCTGAAGGGCCTATTGCGGCCTCTTGACCCTTGGGGGCCTCTTGGGGACCTCTTGCCTTCTGAGGCCGTCTTGAGGATATCTCTAGGCCGTTGTGGAGCCTTCTTCGGGCGCTGCGGGGCCCTCTTTGCCAGTCTGGGGCCTTCTTGGGGTCCTCTGTGGCCGTATCGGGGCTATCTTGAAGGCCTCTGGGGCCGTCTTCGGTTGTCGCAAGCCTGAAAAGGCAAGAGCGCAAAAGCTGGTGGAAAACCATGGGGAAATCATTCATCTTACCATCCTGGAGCCCTCCGTTGGCGTCTTGGAGACCCCTTGGGCCGTCTGGAGAGTATCTCGGGCAGTCTTTGATTCATCTTAGGCCATCTTGACGGCATCTTGGGCCCTCTTTGGGGCGTCTTGGGATTGTTTTGGAGGCCATCTTGGGGCCAACTGAGAAACCGATGTTTCAGTTGGCCAGCGGGATGCGCAGAGACCCCGCTTGGAATTTCGCCAACAGATTTTCTTGAAAGCCAGGGGGCGGCGGATGACGAAAGAGCGAGGTACGAGCGAGAGACGTTTCGCAGGGGGCGTACAGGGAGGGGGTCTGAGGGAGGGGGCTAGCGGGGGAACAAAAGTCTAGTTGCCCTTTTCCTTCGTTACGTTTCGAGTGAAGCGGCTCCCGGGCGGCTCCCATGGCCCGTTTCCACATTTTTTTTTTCGAGTGACGCGGCCCAAGGGCCCGAAGACGGCCCACTAGGGCCCCAAAACGGCTCTAGAGTGCCCCAAGACGGCCCCAAGAGAGCTTCAGATGGCCTCCAGACTGTCAAAGAGAGTCTCGAGACGGCTCCAGAGGCCGTCAAGAAGGCCCCCGAGAGGGCCTCAGGAGGCCAAAAACATGGATTTCCCTTGAGTTTTTGCAGGTTGTTCGGGTTTGCCCTTCTTCAGTCCCAGAAGGGCCCCAGACGGCCCAGAAGGCCCCAAAGATCGTCCCAAGACGGCCCCAGAGGCGCCCCAAAGGAGCCCAAAACAATCCAAGAGGGCCCCGAGACGGGCCCAAGACGGCCCAAGAGGCTCCAAAGATCGTCCTAAAACGGCCCCTGAGGCCCCCCAAAGGAGCCGAAAACGGTCCAAGAGGGCCCCCAGGCGGCCCAAGAGGGACCCAAGACGACCCAAGTGGGCCCCCACACAGCCCCAAGAGGCTCCCAAGCGGGCCCCAGGAGGAGGGGGAGGAGGAGGAGGAGGAGGAGGAGGAGGAGGAGGAGGAGGAGGACAGGGAGGAGGAGCAGGAGGAGGAGGAAGAGGAGGAAGAGAAAGATGAGGAGGAGGCGGAGGAAGGGAGGTAGAAGGAGGAGGAGGAGGATGAAGAGGACCAGTATAAAACCAAGAGTCATCAACGATGTTGGAATTAACCTTCGCTCCAAGCTCCCTCTTCATGGGCCCCCACAACGATTCATCTCCATTGAGGGAACTGCCTCGTTGGAAGACAACCGTTTGAAGATCCTGAAGCATGCCAAAACATTGTTCTCGGGAATCCAACGCCACGTATCAACCTGGCTGCTGTGACTTGACGATCCGGAATCGTGCCAGAGCGCCATTTTGGGGATCTCAACACCGCGAATCAACATAATTGCTGCACCCGCAAAATCTTGAGCCCTTCCAAAACATAGATTCTGGTACGTTGATCACGGGAATCCGTAAAGCCCTCGCAAATTTTGAAAACGAAAGTACGCGGCGCTAAAGCGAGGGCCACATTTTGAAAAGGAACCGCCCTCGATCCGTGAAGCTCTTGCAAATGTTTGAAACGATTGTGCGCGGCGCTAAAGCGAGAACCGCATTTTGAAAAGGAACCGCCCTCGATCCGTGAATCTCTTGCACCTGTTTGAAACGAATGTGCGCAGCGCTAAGGCAAGAGCCACATGTTGAAAAGGAATCGCCCTCGATCCGTGAAACTCTTGCAAATGTTCGAAACGATTGTGCGCGGCGCTAAAGCGAGAGCCACATTTTGAAAACGGGCCGCCCTCAATCCGTGAATCTCTTGCACATGTTTGAAACGAATGTGCGCAGCGCATAGACGAGAACCACATGTTAAAAAGGAACCGCCCTCAATCCGTGAAACTCTTGCAAATGTTTCAAACGAGTGTGCGCGGCGCTACGGCGAGAGACACACTTTGAAAATGACCCGCCCTCAATCCGTGAAACTCTTGCAAGTTTTACAACGAATGTGCGCGGCGCTAAGGCGAGAGCCACATTTTGAAAACGACCCGCCCTCAATCCTCAAATTTCTAGCGAATGTTTAAAACAAATGCGCGCGGCGCTAAGGCGAGAGCCACACTTTTGAAAACCACCCGCCCTCAATCCGCGAAAATGCTGTCACCTTTTAAGCTTCAGGGTCGTAAATGGTGAGGAAGTCTCAGGCGAAACGCCCGGCTCGCCCTAAAGACTGGCCTCGGGGTGCGACAGGGAGGAGTTATCTATAAGGAGAGGGGATGGAGGATGAGGGAGAGGAGGTGGAGGAGGAGGAGGAGGAGGATTTGTTTTGTTTTTGTTTCCTTCGCGGCCTGCCTGCCGACGCACTGAGCGCCGCCTTGCATGCCTTCGCAGGCCAGAGACCTTCCCGAGCCCGCCGGGGCGCCCGCCAGGAAGGGCACTCCTGCCGCCACCTCCTCCTCCTCCTCGAAGGAGCAGCCGCTCGCCTGCACACGGGGGGGCGCGCCGCCCGGCCTGCCGGCGCAGAGGCGCGCCGCCGCTCGGCTGCCAGCTACCACGGGGCGCAGCCGCACGCGGAGCGCCTCGGCGCCGTGGTCGCTGGGCCAGTTGCCCGTGGCCTCGGTCGGGGCGTGGCTCTCCAAGACCGCGGCGCGGGAGGCCTGATCGCGGAATAGCTCGGCCTTGAGTCCTCGAACAAGGAGAGATCCGCTCCACCTTGCCCTTTCCAGACTTCTGGTCCTCCTGTTGCTTGTGGGGTGGCCTCGACAGGCGGGGCAGGTCGGCCTCTCGCAGCATGGTGCGATACCTGCCCGCCCTCGTCTCGGAGAAGGGCACGGCCACGTGTCCGTCCTCCCTCGGCGCGAAGACCTCGTTGAATCCCCCCGCTATCACCGTCAAGTCCACCTCGCGCTTGCTGTCCTCGTCCGCGCCGTCGGCGAACGAGTTGAGGGCGGCAAGCTGCTCCGCGTCGCCGCCACGAGCGTGGCAGGTCACGACGCGCACCGATCTGCAGGTGGCCTTGTGAACCATGTCCACTCGCCCGAAAGCCACGCCATTGAACTGCGTCTCCATAAAAGTGATGTTGTTGAACGCCTCGTCTCTCACTGCATTGAGCAAGCCGTCCGGTGGTCTCCTGGCGTGCTTGAAGTATTTGGTACTGTAGCCGCTGCCGAGGTCCTTGGCTGTGTCGGCAGCGTCTGTGTGCTCGACCTCCTGCAAGCAGATGACGTCCCACTGCGCCTTGCATTTGCTGTCCCTCATGACGGGCCACCAGCTCGCCCAGTTCGAGGCGCCGTCGGGCCCGACGCCCTCGCGCTCGTTCCACGTCGCGGCGTACGTCGAGCACAACACGTTGTAACAGCCCACCGAGATCGGGCTGGCCGCCGGCCCAGTCCGCGAGCCGCCGTCGCGGAGGTGGTCGAATTGGCGCCGCTTGCGGGGCAGAATGAGCCGTTGCAGGGAAGCGAGCGCCATGCACGCGGCACCCAGCGCTGCAAAGACCAGCTGCCCCGGCCGCCATCGCCGCAGAACCTGCATCACGCGGAGCCCTCTGGCCGCGCGCCGCGGCGCCAGCGGCCGCCGCCGAAGGGGCAGGGCGGCCCGAGGCGCGCCGCGGCAGGGCCGCCCCACTTGAGCCAAAATGGCTACGGAGGAGGAGGAGAAGGAGGAAAAGGAGGAGGAAAAGGAGGAGGAGGAGGAGGAGGAGGAGGAGGAGGAGGGAGGAGGAGGAGAAAGCGGAGGAGGAGAAAGACGAGGAGAAAGAGGAGGTGGAGGAAAAGGACGAGGACGAGGGAGGAGGAGGAGGAGGGAGAGGAGGAGGGAGAGGAGGAGGAGGATGGAGGATGGAGGATGGAGGATGTAGGAGGAGAAAGACGAAGAGGAGGAGGAGGAGGAGGAGGAGGACGACGAGGACGAGAGAGGAGGAGAACGAGGAGGAGTCAGGAGGAGGAGGAGGGAGAGGGACGAGGAGGAGGAGGAGGCAGAGGAGGAGAAGAAGAAGAAGAGGAGGAGGAGGAGGAGGAAGAGGAGAAGGAGCAAGGCTCCCAACTGAAAGCGGTGACGTAACACGCGCTTACCAGCAAGGCTCCCAAGAACGAGCGGTGACGCAACAAGCTCTTACCACCAAGGCTCCCAAGAGCGAAGGGTGCCCTGAGCCATCTCGGGCAGGTTACTGAAGCGCTCCTTCCGTTCCAGTGCCGGCCCAGGTCTAGCAGCGTTCGGCCCATCACGCAGCTCTTCTTTCTACTGTTCAGCTCAATCACTTTTTCGCCAGCTACTGCATCCAATTGTTGTTTGCTTACTATTCGGCCCATCCCGCCACCGCGCTTGAGTCGTGGACAAGAGGCATCTTAGAGGCCTCTTGGGCTCTCTTGGGAGGCCCCCTGTGGGCATTTTGGACGCCTCTTGGAAGTCTCTTGGGGCCTCGTGGGGGGTTGTTCAGGGCCTCTGAGCTCTGGGGGCCTGTTGGGGGAAAGGGCTCGAAGCACGAGACCATCTTAGGGCATGCTGAAGTACAGAGTCCAATCCACACTCCCTTGGCTTCTGAAACAGAGACGCGAGCCGTCTCGAGGGCGCTCAGTAGCTCCCAGCCTGGCCCAGAAGCCCAGGGCATGGCCCCCTTCGAGAGCAGTTACAATTTCCAGCACAGAGAACGCAAAGGGACTCGAGAATGCTTAATTCAGCGCCCACGGCACGGCGGTGGATACAATTGATGGCCGTGTTCCGCCAAGCAAAGCAACAGTTTAGTGAGTGTTGATCTGGCATTATGCTCAATGCCCACGCGTCGTGCCACGCCGCGGGGGTGTGCCCTCCGCGCGGGCGCGCCCGGGCCGGACCGCGGCCATGACGATCGCCCCAGAGCTTCGCGAGCGGCTGCAAAGCGCCAGGCTCGGGAGCGAGGCGGTCGAGAGGGTGCTCGAGGACCTCGAGGTCGAGGTGTTCGAGGACCTGGCCTACGTGACCGAGGACGACCTGCAGAGCCTCGGGCCCGTGACGCGCCGCAAGTGCATGGAGCTGGTGCGGAGCGCGGCGGCGGCGGCAACCGCGGGGCTTGCGCCAGCGCCCCCCGAGGTGGGGCCAGCGGCCGCGCCAGCGCCAGCTTCGCCGCAGGCGCCTGCGGCGCCAGCTCCGCGCGAGCTGGACTCTGACTTGGTGCTGGTCGCCCGCCGACCGCCGGTCGTACAGGTGCCTAACCTTCTGGTGCGAGCAAACGGCCACACCGACCTTCTCTCGCGGGAGGACCACCGCTGGCGCCCTGCCCACTGGGGACGTGGCGGCCCCGAGGGGTGGCAGTGGGCACGGGCCGAGTTCGAGGAGGGCAGCTTGGCGGCCCTCGCAGCTGCCCCAGAGCAGGGCGTCTGGTGGGAGGGCCGAGAGTTCTTCCTCGTGTCGAGCAGCAAGAGCAGCGCATCCAAGCTGGGCACCGCGTGGCTCGCCAGTCCGCCCAATGGCGGAGCTGCGGCAGTGGAGCAATCGTTTCAGTGGGGCCAGCGGTTGAAGCTCTTGCCGCCCACCGACGAGCGCCCGCATCCACATTATTCATTGGTTTACGCCGCACCGCCGACACCTTGGGAGCCTTGGATGCCTCTCTTCCTGGGGGCGTTGTCGTAGAAGCGCCGTGGCGCTGTGCGTCCATCTGGGAAACACAAAACCGTGCCCAACAGGAGCCATGATGGATCGCTTGGGGCCCCTCTTGGGGACCTGTCGTGGGCCTCCGAGGGACTCTCGGGGACCTGTTCAGGGCCTCTTAGGACCCTCTGGGGGGGGGCATGTTGGGGGTCCTCGTGGCCCCCTTTGAGTTCCCCCTCTTGGCCTCCTCATTGGGACCTCGTGGGGCTCTGCTGGACACTCTGAAGGGCCATTGGGGGGCCCTGTTGGGCCGTTTGGGGAACCTCTTGGCTGACGTTTGGTGGCATATTGGATTGCTCTGGAAGCCCTGAAGATCGAAAAGGCCAGCACGTCAAACATGCGTTTTTTATGAGGATAAAGAGAGAAAAGGAAAACAAAACAACAACAACAACAACAACAACAACAACAACAACAACAACAACAACAATCATTTTACCCGAACGCGTGGTGTTCTCCCCAGTGCCAGGGTTTTCATACGACACCAGGCAATACCCCCACTTCGTGGGGGGGCATTACAAGCTCTACCAAATATCCAAACGACTCTTCGCGACCACCCAAACCCAGCTTCCCGCCCTATGACGTTGGGACACTTCACTTCGTGGCGTGCGGACGACCGTGGCTACTACACTGGCGTGGGGTACACACCCACAGAACTTGGTCACTTATTCGGGGCGCGCGCGCGGGTGGAAATTTTGAAAAGTCGTGCAGCTGTTTTTCGAGGACCTACGGTGCGATTCGTGTGATTTTATGATGCGCGGTGCTAAAATTCTTAAGAACCCAATGGTTTTTGGAGATTTCGGCGTGCGCGCGCGAAGAAAAAACGAATGTGTCCCGCATGGTATTATTTGACAGGGATGATGGCCCTGGCAGGTGCGCAACCGTTGTCGCAGAAGTTCGAAAAAGTTGCTCGCAAAAGCCCGTTTGACAGAAATGTTTAAAAAGTGTTGGGTTTCCTACGAATCCGCAAGAGCGCGCGGGATGAGATTTTGACATTTTTTTGTTGAAAAACCATTGGTTTTTTGATGTTTTTATGTTAAAATCGCTCCGAACACTAAGCTTTTGGAAGGATTTCGTCTTGCGCGCGCGAATGTCCACTTTACCTTATTTTTTGCAAGGGATTCTTGAAATTTGATTATATTAGAACAAGAAATGTCATTTTATAGTGTTTTTTGCAAGGGAAAGCGGGGGGGAACAAAACAACCGGATCTTGATCACATCGAATTACCTGAGGCTTCCTCACGAAAATGATGAAAATGTAGCTGCGGCCTAGGCGCGGCAGGGGGGCGTGCACCAGGGGGCCCAACAATAATTATTCTTTAGAATTAATAATGTTCAACAACAACAACAACAACAACAACAACAACAATCATTTTACCCGAACGCTCAGTGTTCTCACCAGTGCCAGGGTTTTCATGCGACGCGAGACAATACCCCCACTTCGTGGGGGGGCAGTTCAAGCTCTACCAAATATCCAAACGACTCTTCGCGACCACCCAAACCCAGCTTCCCGCCCTATGACGTTGGGACACTTCACTTCGTGGCGTGCGGACGACCGTGGCTACTACACTGGCGTGGGGTACACACCCACAGAACTTGGTCACTTATTCGGGGCGCGCGTGTGCCCAGCATCCTGCAATTGTGACATACAATACATGACACAGACAGACAGAGAGAGAGACAGAGAGCAGACAGAGAGAGAGACAGAGAGAGCGGAGTTGGTCACATTTTTGGGGCAAGTTCCTGAGATCGTCGTGTTTTTTGTTGGTCTTGCGCGCGCGAATGTCCACTTTACTTTTTTTTGCAAGGGAGTATTGAAATTTGATTATGTTAGAACAAGAAAAAGTAGCTCGCGCGAGCTCATGTAACATAAATGTTGAAAAACCATTGGTTTTGTGGGAGTCGGACAGCGCGCGCGGGATGAAATTTGGACATTTTTTTTTGAAAAACCATTGGGTTTTTGATGTTTTTATGTTGAAATCGTTACGAAACCTAAGGTTCTGGAAGGATTTCGTCTTGCGCGCGCGAATGTCCACTTTACCTTATTTTTTGCAAGGGATTATTGAAATTTGATTATGTTAGAACAAGAAAAAGTAGCTCGCGCGAGCTCATGTAACATAAATGTTGAAAAACCATTGGTTTTGTGGGATTCGGACAGCGCGCGCGGAAGGACATTTTGACAATTTTTTCTTAAAAAACCATTGGGTTTTTGATGTTTTTATGTTAAAATCGCTACGAAACCTAAGGTTTTGGAAGGATTTCGTCTTGCGCGCACGAATGTCCACTTTACCTTATTTTTTGCAAGGGATTCTTGCAATTTGATCAAGTAAGAACAAGAATTTTCATTTTCTATTGTTTTTTGCAAGGGAAAACGAGCGTCAACAAAAAACCGGATCCGGAGCTCATCCACTTTTCTGAAGCTTTCGCGAAAAAATGATGAAAATGTAGCTGCGGCCTAGGCGCGGCGCAGAGGTCGCGCACCAGGGGTCCCAACAATAATAATTCTTTAGAAGGAATAATGTTCAACAACAACAACAGCAACAGCAACAGCAACAGCAACAACAACAGCAACAACAACCACCACCACCACCACCACCGCAACAACAACAGCAGCAGCAGCAACAACAACAGCATCAACAACAACGACAACAACAACAAAACGCCACCAAGGAACCTCACATATTTATATCATGTCTGGTGTGATGGCAGCTGAAGTGAAACATGCAAGAATGATCCTGGTGGCCGTCGCCCCGCCGATACCATTGGCGACGCCAGTCAAGCCTGCATGGGTGCCGCGCGCAGGGAGGGCGGCTGCTGCATTCAAATGGGAGTACAGGCGCGCCTGCGTGAGAGCACAGGAGCGCCGAGCTGCCCTGAGCCAAGGTGTTTACGGTTCTGGATGAGACGCGAGCTCTCGCCCGCGCATCCCCCAACCCCTGCGCAGCCCTCTCACGCGAGGAACTGCCACGCCTGACACGCTTGGCGAGCCCGAAACAGCTAGGGAGACCACCCCCAGCGCATTCCCTGAGGTGTCGACGAAGTGCCACTCCTGTCAGGCTCTGCGAGCACGAAACGGATAGAGGGACCACCCCAAGCGCACCCCTTGTGGTGTCCAGAGATTGCCACGCCTGACACGCTTTGCAAGCCCGTAACGGATAGACAGACCACCCCTAGCGCACCCCCTGTGGTGTCGAGGAGCTGCAACGCCTGCCACGCTCTGCGAGCCCGAAACAGGTTGGGAGACCACCCCCAGCGCACTCCTTGTTGCGTCGAGGAGGTGCCAAACCTGCCAGGCTTTGCCCGAAACGGATAGAGGGACCACCCCCAGCGCACCCCCTTGTGTGTCGAGGAACTGCACGCCTGCCACGCTTTGCGAGCCCGAAATGGATAGGGAGACCACCGCCAGCGCACTCCCTGTGGTGTCGAGGAAGTGCCACGCCTATCAGGCGTTGCGAGCCCGAGACGGATAGAGAGGCGACCCTCAGCGCACCCCTTGTGGTGTCGAGGAAGTGCGACGCTTGCCACGCTCTGCGAGCCCGAAACGGATAGGGAGACCACCCCCAACGCACCACTTGTGGTGTCGAGGAAGTGCGACGCTTGCCACGCTCTGCGAGCCCGAAACGGATAGGGAGACCACCCCCAGCGCACCCCCCGTGGTGTCGAGGAAGTCAACGCTTGCCACGCGCTGCACGCCCGAAACGGATAGGGAGGCAACCCTCAGCGCACCCCCTGTGGTGTCAAAGAACTGCCACGACTGCCACCCTGTGCGAGCCCGAAACGGATAGGGAGACCACCCCCAACGCACCATTTGTGGTGTCGAGGAAGTGCCAAGGCTGCCACGCTTTGCGCGCCCGAAACGGATAGAGAGACCACCCCCAGCGCACCCCTTGCGGTGTCCAGGAAGTGCCTTGCCTGACATGCTTTGCGAGCCCGAAACAAATTGGGAGGCCACCCCCGGCGCAACTCCTGTGGCGTCGAGGAAGTGCAATGTTTGCCATGCTTTGCGAGCCCGAAACAGATCGGGAGGCCACCCCCAATGCATTCCCTGCAGTGTCGAGGAAGTGCAACGCCTGCCACGCTTTGCGAACCCGAAACGGATAGGGATACCACCTCCAGCGTATTCATTGTTGTGTCGAGGAAGGGCCACACCTGCCACGCCCTGCTAATATTGCGCGTATGTGTTGTGTGGCGCGCGTGTCATGTGTATGATGCGTGTGCGGCTGTATCTGGACGTGTATTGCACATGGGTGCCCAGTATGTGGCGCATACGTCGTGGGTGTACGATGCAGTGAGCACGCCATGCGTGCACTGGCGTTGTTCGAGAGAGAGTGCGTGTGTGTGTGTGTGCGTGTGCGTGTGTGTGTGTGTGTGCGTGTGATTGTGCGTGTGCGTGTGCGTGTGCGTGTGCGTGTGCGTGTACGTGTGCGTGTGTGTGTGCAGTGCGTGTGCGTGTGCAGTGCGTGTGCGTGTGTGCGTGTGCGTGTGTGCGTGTGTGCGTGTGTGCGTGTGTGCGTGTGTGCGTGTGTGCATGTGTAGGGTGTGTTGTGTATGTGTTGTGTGTTGTGTGTGCTGTGTGCTGTGTGTGATTGTGTGGGTAACTGTGTGTGAGTAAGCGTGTGTGTATGTATGTTTGTGCGACTGGAAGGAAGGAAGAGGAGGAAGGGAGGAGAGGAGGGAGGTGTGAGACGCGGGTGCGACGCGGCAGGGAAGAAAACCAGAACCCCACGAAACATGTGGGGAAACAGGAATACGTGACGTTTGCCTTGTGGCGCCCTCTGGGGGATTTCCTGGGCCATCTTGGGGGCGTCTGGGACAGTTGAGGCAATTCGAGGCCGTTTTGGTCATACCTTGGGTTATTTAAGAGCACATGCGGACCGTTATGAAGTTTTCCAGACGATTGCACACGCTTTGGAGCTTGTCGGGGCCAGATGGCTCCGCCGAGGCCACTGGCTGGGACCCCCCTTTGGGGTCGGCGAATTTGCTCCGCGCGCGCATCAAGCAGCTGTTCTCGTCTGTCGTGGCCGTCATCGATACTAGCACTTTTGATTTCCACGTCAATGACGACCGGATCGACGAACGGGGCGCTAAGAGAGACGACGGTTCCGGGGAGGTGAGCCCGGAGATCTTGGAGGCTTTGTGGAGGGCGTCGCGCTCTGGCCACGATGGCGACCTACACGAAGAGGGTTTCTTCAGGCACGTGCCAGGATCGGCGCAGTGCCGCCGCGGGGGCATGAAGGGCATGCTTGGGGCCGCGGAGAGGTTGCGTGGACTCAGGAGGCTCGAGGTCCCCCACTCCATGCTCAAGTTCGAGGGGTTCGGGGAGACTCTGGGCGTCATCGCCTTCAGCACCGTGAGACGGGCCGCCATCCCGAGGCACCTGGCCCTGCTTCTGGAGTGCAGGGGCATGGCAGCCAAGACCCTGCTGGACCATTCGGAGCGACATGTCGAGGACATCCTTGGCCCCCTCACTATAAGGCAGGCTGCCCGAGTGCTTGGCGACAGCGGGGACGCCGAGGAGCAGAGCAACTGGTACTTGGCAACAATGGCTAAGCTGCTCGGCGCGGGCTTCAGCATCGCACAGCACCCCTTGTTGGAGTCGGTTCGCAGGCAGCAAGAGGCCCGCCTTACGAGAGCGCTCCGCTCGGTGTGGGCCCCGGGCGTCTGGAGCTGCCACGGCATGCCGGAGCCGTTGCCATCGCCTGGGGAAGGGCACATTTTGAAGGGCCGCCAGGTATTCTGCATGGTCCCCGCGCCCGAGCGCAACGAGCTGGAGTCTCCAGGGTGGCGGGCCCTCGCGGGGCCCGTGCTGCTGTACGAAGGCACCGACCGCGAGCCCAGCGCGATCCGCCTCTGCGAGGCCATCGACGCGGTGCCCTTGCGCAAGAAGTGCCACCCCGGGTTGCTTTATTTCTCGGCCGCCGGCGAAGCCATCCAGGATGGCCTGAGCTGGGATTTTGACGGCGACAGGTTCTATCTGGCTGCTTGCGGCAAGTGCTGCCACCGTGCCAGCCCCAGCATTGTGGATGGCGAATGTTCGAGGGGGCACAGGAGGCCGTCACATGCGACACCTCGTATCCCCAAGCTTTGGGGTGTCGCAGTCTTGGGGGTCCCTTGGGGGCCGTCTAGGGAAATTTGGTGCCCTCTTGGCCTGTCTTGGAGTTCTCTTGGGCTGGCTTTGGGCCATCTTGGCGCCGTCTTGGGCTATCTGGGTCTCTCCAGAGGCCCTCTGGGGCCGTCTTGGAGGCCGCTTAGGCAATCATGGAGTCCTCTTGGGCTGTCTTGGGGCCTTCTCATGGGGGCAGCTTAGGCCGACTTGGAGCCATTTCGGGAGCTCCTTGGGCCATCTTGAGATGACAGACGCGCGAAAGGCGAGAATGCGACAGTATTTCAAAATTCGATGATAATCATGCGTTTGGCCTCCAAGGGCCCTACTGAAGGTCTTCTTGTGGCTTTCTTGGGCCCTTAGGCCTTCTTGGAGGCATCCTGGGCCATATCGAACCCATCTTAGGCCTCCCTGGGGCCATCTTAAGCCGTCTTGAAGGCATCTTGGGCCAACGTGGTGGCCTCGATTGCGTGCTTCGGCCGTCCCGGAAGCTCCGGGGACGAAGGGTCGCGGCCTCGGGCAGTAAGGTTCCAGTGTTGGTTTTGGTTGAGGTGCACATTGTTCGATAATTCGAATAATGCCCGAACCAGACCGAGACCAGGACTGGTCTCAGTCACGATGCACATGATTCAATTAATGCTTCATAATGCGATTCGAACCATACCTGGACCAGTCGTGGTCCTGGTTCGGGGGAATAATATTATCATACTAATGATATTGCTTTCGAACCACAATTGTGACTGTGACCAGGCACGGTTCTGGTCCAGGTGGAGTCACAGTACTCGAATGCATTCAGAATAATGCGGCCAAACCAGAACCATGACCAGGACCAGTCCTGGTCACAGTTGTGGCTGGGGTTGCACTAATGTTAAAATATTATTAATGCGAATCGACCCAGACCACAACCGTGACCAGGACAAGTCCTGGTCACAGTTGTGGTTGGGGTTGCATTAATATGATCATAATACTATAAATGCCAATCGACCCAGACCAGAACCGTGACCAGGACCAGTCCTGGTCACAGTTGTGGTTGGGGCTGCATTAATATTATTCTAATACTATTGATGCCCATCGACACAGGCCAGAACCGTGACCAGGACCAGCCCCAGTCACAGTTGTGGTTCGGGTTGCATCACTATAAATGCCAATCCAGCCGAACCAGAACCGTGACCAGGACCAGTCCTGGTCACAGTTGTGGTTCGGGTTGCACTAACATATTATTATGAGGATGATTGTTATTACTATATTGTTATTATTTTTAATGCCAATCGACCTGAACCATGACCAGGACCAGTCCTGGTCACAGTTGTGGTTGGGGGTGCATTAATATCTTTATTATAAAATGAAAGCCACTCGACCCGAACCAGAACCGTGACCAGGACCAGTCCTGGTCACGGTTGTGGTTCGGGTTGCATTCATATTTTTATAACACTCTTAATGCCAATCGACCCGAACCAGAACCGTGACCAGGACCAGTCCTGGTCACAGTTGTGGTTGGGGTTGCCATAATATTATTATAATATTATTAATGCCCATCGACACAGACAAGAGCCGTGACCAGGACCAGTCCCGGTCACAGTTGTGGTTGGGGTTGCATTAATATCTTGTTAGCAACATTAATGCCAATCGACCCGAACCAGAACCATGACCACGACCAGTCCTGGTCAAATAATGTTATTAATGCCAATCGACCCGAACCAGAACCGTGACCAGGACCAGTCCTGGTCACAGTTATGGTTTGGGTTGCATTAATATTATTCTAATACTATGAATGCCAATCGACCCGGCCCAGAACCGTGACCAGGACCAGTCTTGGTCACAATTGTGGTTCGGGTTGCATTAATATTCTTACAATATTCTTAATGCCAATCGACCCGAACCAGAACCGTGACCAGGACCAGTCTTGGTCACAGTTATGGTTTGGGTTGCATTAGTACTATTTTGATATATTTAATGCAAATCGACCCGAACCAGAACCGTGACCAGGACCAGTTCTGGTCACAACTGTGGTTGGGGTTGCACTAACACTGTTATACGATTATTAATGCCCATCGGCCCGAACCAGAACCGTGACCAGGACCAGTCCTGGTCACAGTTGTGGTTGGGGGTGCATTAATGATATTATTCTAGTATGGTTAATGCCAATCGACCTGAACCTGAACCGTGACCAGAACCAATCCTGGTCACAGTTGTGGTTGGGGTTGCATTAGAATTATTATAATATTATGAATGCCAATCGACCCGAACCAGAACCGTGACCAGGACCAGTCCTGGTCACAGTTGTGGTTGGGGTTGCATTAATATGACTATAATATTGTTGAAGCAAATCGACCCGAACCAGAACCGTGACCAGGACCAGTCCTGGTCACAGTTGTGGCTGGGGTTGCATTCGTATTATTATGGTATTATTGGTGCAAGACCCGAACCAGAACCGTGACCAGGACCAGTCCTGGTCACAGTTGTGGTTGGGGTTGTACTAATATCATTATAGTACTATTAATGCCCATCGACATGACCAGAACCGTGACCAGGACCAGTCCCGGTCACAGCTGTGGTTGGGGTTGCATTCATATCATTATTGTAATAGTAATGCCAATCTACCCTAACCAGAACCATGACCAGGACCAGTCCTGGTCACAGTTGTGGTTGGGGCTGCATTCATATTATCATAATGATATTACTGCCAATCGACCCAGACCAGAAACGTGACCAGGACCAATATTATAGAAATATGCTTCATGCCAATCGACCCGAACAAGAAACGTGACCGTGACCAGTCCTGGTCACAGTTGTGGTTGGGGTTGCATTAATATTATTCTAGTACTATTAATGCCCATCGGCCCGAACCAGAACCGTGACCAGGACCAGTCCTGGTCACAGTTGTGGTTCGGGTTGCATTAATATTCTTATAACAACCTTAATGCCAATCGACCCGAACCAGAACCGTGACCAAGACCACTCCTGGTCACAGTTGTGGTTGGGTTTGCATTAATACTGCTCTACTACTATTAAGGCCAATCGACCCGAACCAGAACCGTGACCAGGACCAGTCCTGGTCACAGTTGTGGTTGGGGTTGCATTAATATTGTAATAATATTATGAATGCCAATCGACCCGAACCAGAACCGTGACCAGGACCAGTCCTGGTCACAGTTGTGGCTGGGGTCGCATTAACAGTGTTATTTCAATATTAATGCCACACGACCCGATCCAGAACCGTGACCAGGACCAGTCCTGGTCACAGTTGTGGTTCGGGTTGCATTAATATTGTTCTAATATTATTAATGCCCATCGGCCCGAACCAGAACCGTGACCAGGACCAGTCCTGGTTACAGTTGTGGTTGGGGTTGCATTAATATCATTATTATTATATTCGTAATGCCAATTGACCCGAACCAGAATTGTGACCAGGACCAGTCCTGGTCACAGTTGTGGTTGGGGTTGCATTAAGATTATTATAATACTACTAATGCCCATCGACCCGAACCAGAACCGTGACCAGGACCAGTCCTGGTCACAGTTGTGGTTGGGGTTGCATTACTATTCTTATAATAATATTATGAATACCAATCGACCCGAACCAGAACCGTGACCAGGACCGGTCCTGGTCACAGCTGTGGTTGGGGTTGCACCAGTATTATCATAATATTATCAATGGCAATCGACCCGAACCAGAGACGGGTCGATAGGAATTAAAAATATTATTATAAGAATTGTAATGCAACCCCAACCACAACTGTGACCAGGACTGGTCCTGGTCACGGTTCTGGTTCGGGTCGATGGGCATTACTAATATTATCACCAGGACTGGTCCTGGTCACGGTTCTGATTCGGGTCGATTGGCATTAAGTATATCATAATAATGATATTGAGTCCTGGTCACGGTTCTGGTCCGGGTTGCATTAGTATTATTCTAATACGATTAATGCCCATCGACCCGAACCAGAACCGTGACCAGGACCAGTCTTGGTCACAATTGTGGTTCGGGTTGCATTAGTGCCAATCGACCCGCACCAGAACCGTGACCAGGACCAGTCCTGGTCACAATCGTGGTTGGGGTTGCAATCATATTGTCATGCAACTATTAAGGCCAATCGACCCGAACCAGAACCGTGACCAGGACCAGTCCTGGTCACAGTTGTGGTTGGGGTTGCATCAGTATTATAATCATATTCTGAATGCCAATCGACCCGGACCAGAACCGTGACCAGGACCAGTCCTGGTCACAGTTGTGATTGGGGTTGCATTAATGTGACCCCAACCACAACTGTGACCAGAATTGGTCCTGATCACGGTTCTGGTTCGGGTCGATTGTCATTAATAACATTATATTAATACCCATGCAACCCCAACCACAATTGTGACCAGGACTGGTCCTGGGCACGGTTCTGGTTCGGGTCGATTGGCATTCATAATGTTATTATAAGAGTAGTAATGCAACCCCAACCACAATTGTGACCAGGACTGGTCTTGGTCACGGTTCTGGTTCGGGTCTATGGGCATTACTAATATTATAATAATAATAATCATCATAATAATAATGCAACCCCAACCACAATTGTGACCAGGACTGGTCTTGGTCACGGTTCTGGTTCGGGTCGACTGGCTTTAAGAATACTATAATAATGATACTAATGCAACCCCAACCACAATTGTGACCAGGACTGGTCCTGGTCACGGTGCTGGTTCGGGTCGATGGGCATTTAAAAATATTAGAATATTATTAATGCAACCCCAACCACAATTGTGACCAGGACTGGTCTTGGTCACGGTTCTGGTTCGGGTCGATCGGCATTAATAATATTATATGAATACTCATGCAACCCCAACCACAACTGTGACCAAGACTGGTCCTGGTCACGTTTCTGGTTCGGTCGATTGGCATTAAGAATATCATTAGAGTACTAATGCAACCCCAACCACGACCAGGACTGGTCCTGGTCACGGTTCTGGTTCGGGCCGGTTGGCCTTAGTAATAGTATAGCAATATTAATGCAACCCCAACCACAATTGTGACCAGGACTGGTCCTGGTCACGGTTCTGGTTCGGGTCGATTGGCAACCCGAACCACAACTGTGACCAGGACTGGTCCTGGTCACGGTTCTGGTTCGGGTCGATCGGCATTAGTAATATTAAAATAATAATATTTCAACCCGAAACACAACTGTGACCAGGACTGGTCCTGGTCACGGTTCTGGTTCGGCTCGATTGGCATAAATAGTATTAGAATAATATGAATGCAACCCCAACCACAACTGTGACCAGGACTGGTCCTGGTCACGGTTCTGGTTCGGGTCGATTGACATTAATAATATTTGAATAATACGAATGCAACCCCAACCACATTTGTGACCAGGACTGGTCCTGGTCACGGTTCTGATTCGGTTCGATTGGCATTAACAACCACAACCGTGACCAGGACTGGTCCTGGTCTCGGTTCTGTTTCGGGTCGATCGGCATTAGTAATATTATTATACTATTGATAATACAACCCGAACCACAACTGTGACCAGGACTGGTGCTGGTCACGGTTCTGGTTCGGGTCGATCGGCATTAATAGTGTTATCATAATATTAATGCAACCCGAACCACAATTGTGACCAGGATTGGTCCTGGTCACGGTTCTGGTTCGGGTCGATCGGCATTAGTAATATTATTATAGTACGAATTCAACCCGAACCACAACTGTGACCAGGACTGGTCCTGGTCTCGGTTCTGGTCCGGGTCGATCGGCAGTAATAATAGTATAATAATATGATTGCAACCCGAACCACAACTGTGACCAGGACTGGTCCTGGTCACGGTTCTGGTTCGGGTCGATTGGCATTAATAATGTTATCATAATATCAATGCATCCCGAACCACAATTGTGACCAGGACTGGTCCTGGTCACGGTTCTGGTTCGGGTCGATCGGCATTAGTAATATTAAAATAATAATATTTCAACCCGAAACACAACTGTGACTAGGACTGGTCTTGGTCTCGGTTCTGGTCCGGGTCGATCGGCAGTAATAATAGTATAATAATATGATTGCATCCCGAACCACAATTGTGACCAGGAGTGGTCCTGGTCTCGGTTCTGGTTCGGGTCGATCGGCAGTAACATGGTTAAAATATTATTAACGCAACCCGACCCACAAATGTGACCAGGACTGGTCCTGGTCACGGTTTTGGTTCGGGTCGAAGCCCGAACCACAATTGTGACCAGGACTGGTCCTGGTCTCGCTTCTGGTTCGGGTCGATCGGCATTAATACTATCATTAAAATACTAATACAACCCGAACCACAATTGTGACCAGGACTGGTCCTGGTATCGGTTCTGATTCGGGTCGATCGGCATTAACAAGGTTATAATAGTATTAATGCAACCCTTGCAATGGGGAATCCTATAGTAACCCTTACAATAGTAATCCTACTGGAATCCCTACGATGGAAAATCTGTTGTAAGCCCTGTAATAGGAATCTTGTTGTAACCCTTACACTAGGAATCCCATTGTAATCCGTACAAAAAGAATCCGAATGTAAACTCTAACAATAGGAAGCCTATTGTAATCTATACAATAGGAATCCTATTGTCATCCCTACAACAGGAATCCAATTGTTACCTGTACAATAAGGAATCGATTGTAATCCCGGCAATAGGAGTTCTATTGTAACCATCACAATAGGGATTCTATTGTAATCTGTACAATAGGAATATTGTTGTAATCCTACAATCGGAATCCTATAGTCACCCTTACAATAAGATTCCTAGTGTAACCTCTTCACCAGGAAACCTATTGTAACCCGTACAATAGGACACCTGTTGCATCACTTACACTAGGAATCCTATTGTCAGCCCTACAATATAAAGCCTAATGTAAGCCCTACAATAGGAATCCAGTTGTAACCCTTAACATAGGAATCCTCTTTTATTCCGTACAGTAGGAATCCTATTGTGCACTCTTACGATAGGAAACCTATTGTAACCCGTACACTGGGAATCCTAGTGTAGCATGTACAATAAGAACCCTATTGTAACCCCTACAACAGAAATCGGTTTGCATTAATATTATCAACAATATCAGTGCAAGCCCAACCACAACTGTGACCAGGACTGGTCGTGGTCTCGGTTCTGGTCTGGGCCGATTCGCACGAATATTACCATAATAATATTGATGCAACCCGAATCACAATTGTGGCCAGGACTGGTCCTGGTCTCGGTTCTGGTTCAGGTCGATTCGCGCTGTTACTGTTATAATAATATGAATGCAACCCGAACCACAACTGTGACCGGGACTGTTCCTGGTCACTGTTCTGGTTCGGGTCGATCGGCATTAATATTATCATAATAATATTAATGCAACCCGAACCACATCTGTGACCAGGATTGGTCCTGGTCTCAGTTCTGGTTCGGGTCGATCGGCATTTAAAATAATGGAATAAAACTCCAGCAACCATTACAATGGGGAATCCTATTGCTACCCTTACAATAGTAATCCTTTTGGAATCCCTACAATAGAAATCCTGCTGTTAGCCCCACACTAAGAATCCTGCTGTAACCCTTACAATGGGAATATTATTGAAATCCGTACAATAGGAATCCTATGGTAAACTCTTACAATAGGAACCATATTGTGATCTGTACAGTAGGAATCCAAGTGTAGCTTGTACAATAAGAACCCTACTGTAACCCCTACAACAAAAATCGGTTTGCATTAGTAATATCAACAATAGCAACGCAAGCCCAACCACAACTGTGACCAGGACTGGTCCTGGTCACAGTTCTGGTTCGGTCTCGGTTCTGGTCTGGGTCGATTCGCATTAATATTATTATAATAATATTAATACAACCCGAGCCACAATTGTGACCGGGACGGGTCCTCATCACGGTTTTGGTTCGGGTCGATTCGCATTAATTTTATTCTAATAATATTAATGCTACCCGAACCACAATTGTGACCAGGACTGGTTCTGGTCATGGTTCTGGTTTGGTCGCATTATTCCGAATGCATTCGAATAATGCGACACCTGGACCAGAACCATGACTGGTCACAGTCATAGTCATAGTCGCGAATTAATCATATTCCAACCTCACCCGGACCAAGACCAAGACCAGTTACAGTCATAGCCATAGTCCGGCATTGATAATATTTTTCGGAGGCGACCGATTACTGGGTACGCTAAGACCAGTTCTAGTCACAGTCACTATTCGATAATATGAACGTAATTCGAATAATGTCCACCACAACCAACACCTGATTCACACTCGCCTCGGGAGCGCAGATACATTGTGTTTCACGGGGGATCGTAGCCTCTGGAAGGGGGGGCAGTGCACGCACGGATCTGCGACGAGAGAGGGGGTCCCTTCACTAGACGAATACAGGAAAACAGACACCACGTGGCACCCCACCACGCCTCAACGTGCCAGGGGGCTCGGTAGCGGATGTCATAGAAAATCGCCAGATCGTCCAGGAGGTGCGCGCCCACGACCAGACGCAGACACCGCCGCCGCCGCCACCTCAACTGGCCACGCCGTCACAGGCCCTGGCGCTGCGGCGTCCAGGCGATATGCCCAGGCTGCAGGAGCTGCAGGCCGACTTCTTGCAGTTCTTCCCGGGGCACGACGTGGCCGGCCTGTGGCACCACCGTTGGGAAATCCTCGCTGGCAAGGGGCCAGGCGCGGCGAACGCCCCAGAGGCCTTGAGCGCCGCGCGCCAGTACAAGGCCTCGCTGGACGCGGAGAAAGGCGGCCCGCGCCCGCCCAGGCCCGCGCGGGGTTGGGATGCGAAGTGGGACTTCATGAGCACTCCAGGGAAGAGAGCTCGTGACTCTCCGACGGTGGCGGGGGGGGTCTTCCGCGTGGCCGCCCAAGGATCGGCTGCACGTCAGAGTGACCCTTCGCCGGAGTGACCTTTGGTGCGGGCCCGCGGGCACTCCTGGATCGTTGAACGAGATGCGGCAGCAGCAGTTGGCGCCCTTGGTGTTAGCCCTGTCGCGCCCCCCATAAAGCCGCGCAGCAAAGGTCATTCTTGCCAAGTGCCACCCTTGCGTGTAGCTGAAAGGATTGGAGGCGCTCCATCGCCGGGACAGCGCCGCGAGCGAGGGGGCGGACTCCGACCTTCGCGACGCGTGGCTTCGAAAGACCTTGGGCGAGGGCATGCGAAGGCACCTGATCGAGCTGGCGGGAAAGGCTCGCGGCAAGTGGCTCGAGAGAATCAGGAGCGATAGGCGCCGCGACGACAGGGACGACGCCGATTCGAACTACAGCTCTGGCAGGCCAAGGGAGACCGACGCGGTGTTCGACAGCTTCCTGGAGCAGCTGCTCGCGGAGTGCCGGCAGGAGGCGGAGCGCGTTGGGGCGTCGCTGGAGGACCTGGCGCTGGCGGCCTGGTGGCAGAAGTATGTGGACCTGGGTCGACTACACGTAAGAGTGACCCTTCGCCAGAGTGGTCTTTGATGCGGGCCCATTGGGGTCCCCCGATCGCCGAACGCAATGCGACTGTAGCGTCTTGCGCGCTTGTGGTTGGTCCCCCCGCGGCCCCAAAAAAAGCCGCGCACCAAAGAGCACTCTGATTCTTGCGTGTAGTCGACTGGGGGAACCAAAATGTACCGATACCGCTACGGTGGGCTCGCGTCGTGTCGACCGGCGGCGACCCCGCCGCGGGCGTTCAAGGTTGAACGCCGCCAGTGGCCCAGAATCGGCTTACATGGAACATTCGGGTGATCGGGCGATCGGAAAGCCGCCGATCGTTCAAGGTTGAACGGTCGACGCGGTGTCAGAAACCAGCGCCAGGGTCGTCACGACACGAACCTACCGTACTCCCCAGACCTCTCCCAGGGTGCGTTATGACCAGGATGTCGAGGCGGCTCCAGCCGTGGAGGCGAGAGCTTCCCGGGAGGCCCAAAAAGGCGGAATCGAGGGAAGGGTGGGTGCACTAATCGTCGTCGTCGTCGTCGTCGTCGTCGTCGTCCGCCCCTCCCCTGAGGAGCAGGGTGTGGGCACCAAGTGTTCAGATCCAGATAAGACCTGGCCCTGGGCGCTCTTCCTGAACGAACTCGTCGGCGCCAAGGAGCGCGTCGCCCCCTGCAGCCTCCACGCCGCGGAGCGGTGCCGGCGGCACCTGCGCTGCCTGCTTGCGGCCGCGCGGCACCTCTTGTCGCACGACTCGGAGCAGAGCCGCTCCGAGTACCTCGGGCGGCTCCAGAGGGCGCGCGAGGAGCCCAGGTTCAGTAGCGTGTAACCGATCTCTATCCCACAGCCCCATCCCGACCCCCGCCGCCCCACCACCCCAGTTGGGGATATAACCTTCGAAACCCAGAGGAAACAGTTTATATCCTCATCCAGGGGCTGAATCGACCCGTGGGGCCCAGGCCTCACCAATGGGGGTAGAGATCGGTTAAAAGATGTTCACAGGTGCAGGGGGTGCGCCGCTCAGCTCCACAGGCGGCTCGAGGATCTCAGGGGCAACACGGGGGGGGGAGGCTCGGGGGAGAACGCATGGACACCAATTCGCCGACAGCGGCTTGATGGCCACTCCCGCCCATGAATGTGCGATTCTGCGCAGTCGGGGGCCTGGCGCCGATCTACTGGCGATGTATCGCCGATTCCAGGTCGACGCTTCCACCCCTGACCCGGCCGCCCAGTGGAGTTCCGCCTCAGGACCTCGGGATGGCGGGCTCTGGTGATCCTGGGCCGGAACGGGTGGTAGAGGCGCTCGGGGAGGCCGCCCGGTCGCGGCAGGCCTCTCGCATCAGCGCCTCGGCGCTCCGCTACTGCAGAGGGGAGATCAGCCGCACCTTCCGGAATGGGAAGCAGGCCGGCGTTCCTCTGGAGAGCTTGGCGAGCCGCCTCGCCTCCGGCGACGAGTCTCCGCTGAAGGACCTGAAGTTGACGGCAGTCGTCTACCACGGCAAGCACTTCGTCGTGGAGGGCAATTGTCGGTTGTGGTGCTTGAAGGAGGCGGCGAGGAGGATGGGCCGAGACCTGGAGGTGCAGGTGGAGGTCGTCGACCTGCACCTCGGCTTCGTCCGCCAGCAGGACGCTGGCCAGCCGGCGCCCCGCGCCTTCTTCCAGAGGTTCTCAACGAAGACTGACGGCGAATCGGTGGACTGGGACGGCGACGACGGACGTGGAGGAAGAAACAAGATCATAAGCCGACATTTTTGGAGGTCCGCGCGGACTTTTGGATCGACGCTGGACCCCCCTCCCTGGCGCAAGAAATCCGCGCTGGGGAAGTCTACGGTCGGGGAATGTTGCTAAGCGTGTCGCTGCGCGGGTTCTGGCCCACCACACTTCAACTCGACACACTAACCAAGCCCAAGCTGCCAAGAATCAACGTCCCCGAGCCTTTCCCGGCCTCCCGCCCCGCGGAACTTTTCTGTCAGCGGCGACGTGGCCCCAAGACGCAGTCGAGCGCAGAGCGCAGCGACATGCTATCCGCTCGCAGGGCATAGCCTGTCGCCGGGGCCGCCGCCGCGACACACTCAGACAGAGCTCCCGACCGTACGTTTGAGTACTGCCAACCCGCATAGTAAGATTTTGCGAATTTCCAAGGTGACCCTTGCATCCTTCCCCTTCGGCCCATCCTTGGCCGCTTTCGCTGGCCGCGCCCCGCTCGCAAAGTGTCGACATGGCCTTCCAAGGCCCTTGCATCCTCATCGTGCATCCTTACTATGCTGGTTGACTGCACGTTTGAGTACGCCGTGTCTGCTGCTTCGAGGACGGGCGGGCCCAGACGGCACTTCGCGGGCTCCCGAGGGAGGCGCGCCACCGCTGGCGGAGCCGGGCGGGCCTCTGCCCGCCTCCGCCGCGTCGCCGCCGGGCACCAGCACCGGCGAGGGAGCGGCGCGGGCCCGGGGGGGGCAGGAGTCTCAGGGGCAGCGTGGGGGTCGACTAGTCGCAAGAGTGACCTTTCGCCGGAGTGACCTGTTGGTGCGGGCCGAATAAGGAAGGTCTTACGAGAGGTGGTAGCAGCGGTTTGCGCGCCTGGGTTTGGCCACCCCGCGTCCCCCGTTGAGCCGCGCACCAAAGGTCACTCTTGCCCAGAGTCACTCTTACGTGCAGTCGAGGGGGCGGGGGGGTCTACAGTCAATGTGCTGAGATAGGGACCACTTTGGGCTCAGGAGGAGTCGATGCGCTTTCGGGCCGTTCCTCAGACTCAAGTCGTGGAACCCGTTTGTGGCCCAGGCCCGCCGCGGCCAGAAAAGGCCCTTTCAATCCTTATGGTGCGGTCCGGATGGTAGCACGACGACTGTAGGCTCAGGGAGGGGACGCTTTCGAAAGTTTCCTGGAGCTTTCGGGGCCTGGAGTGGTCTCCACAGTTATGTCTCGTGGAGGGCGTTCCGCGGGTGCCAGAAGCGTCGGAAGCGTCCCGAACGGCCGGCGGGGAGCCGAGGTATGATTCGAAAACCAAGGGGCAACGTAAAAGGGGGGATAAACTCAGTCGGGAGCACATCGGCCCCCAATCGCCCATTGATCACCGATAGAGGCCCGACAGCCCACCCCGCCCAGACTCGCCATCGGGGAACTGTTGCCGATCTGTCGGCGATGTATCGCTGCTTCTGGGTCGGTGCCCCCCCCCCGAGCTGGTCCCCCCAAGCGCTTCCCTTTCGAGGAGGAGCGGGGCTTCGACGACGCGTTCCGCGGCCTCGGGGGCCGGCAGCTCGTGGAGGCCAAGTTCTCTGAGCTGTGCGGCTTGCACCACCCGGCCAACGGCGGGGGCCCGGAGGATTACCAGCGGCTCCAGCACGCCTACGACAGAGCTCTGGCCAGAGCCTCGGCGGCACCAGTCAGCGTCCAGCCGACGCCGCCATCGCGGCGGCAGCTGACGGCCGCCAGTGCACAGGGCAGGGCGGTGGGCAGCAGCCGCGGGAGGTGCATCAAGGCCAGCTTTCCCCAGAGGTGCATGCAGTGCTCTGGGCAGATCGAGGTGGGCAGCTCCATCCGAAAAGCTGGGCCAGGCTGGTGCCACGACGAGTGCGTGCAGTACAGTCCATAAGCCTCAACCCTTCCGCGTTCGCTGTCGAATTCGCGAGGGCGGCTGCCGCGGTAGTCAGCCCATCAGGTGCATCTTTAGCTCTGGTCGAGGGGGTAGCGCGACTCTGCGGCAGTGCGGCTGCCGCTTTCTCTCCAGCTCCCGTACAGATAGAAATGCTGGTCTAGCACTCCTCTCAGCGTATCGACAAGCATGGTGGCTTCCCCATCAACAGACGGATCCAGCTCCGACGTATTTTCAGGATCAGTTCCATGAAGGACGTCTGAGCAAACAGTCAACCCGCATAACAAGGATGAGCAACTTTCCAAGGCTACCCTTGCATCCTTCCCCTTCGGCCCATCCTTGGCCACTTTCGCTGGCCGCGCCCCGCTTGCAAAGTGTCGAAATGGCCTTCCAAGGCCCTTGCATCCTTGTCGTGGGTCCTTATTATACGGGTTGACTGTACATGGAATTCTTGCGCGTATCCCCACCAGCCCATCCAGCTACGATGCCCATGCGAGTGGCCTTGATCAGGGCGGTGGGGGAACATGCTGTGGAGCACAGAACTGGGAAAGCCGCCAAATGAAATCTTGGGATCGGCATGAGCAGCCCAAGGAGTGAAGCGCATGTCGCGGACCTGTCGAGCGATGAAGGGCGGAGGAGCAAGATGAAGAGGCGAGAGGAAGACGAGGATGGGAAGGCAGAGGAGGGGAAGGAGGAGGAGGAGGAGGAGAAGGAGGAGAAGAAGAAGAAGAAGAAGGAAGGATGATGGAGCAGAGGGAGGAGCAGGAGGAGGACGACGAGGAAGAGCAGGAGGAGGAAGGCGAGCCGAAGGAAGGAAGGCGAACTTGATGAAACACGGTTTCATGCACTTTCTGGTTACTTTTTGTCAGGAGAAGGAGGGGGAGCGGCAGGAGGACAAGCTAGGTGCGCTCGCGTCATATTTGACGTCCTACCCTCCCTACCACCCCTCATGGCGTAGATCTCTTCGCTATCCGCACAGTCGAATGCCGAGCAGGGCAATGGTCCTGGGAGGGTGCGCGATGCATCGTAGAGCACGTCATAGCAGGGCGCAGAGGAGCACGGCAAAGCGTAGTATGTCATAGCATGGCGTGGCGTTGCGTAGTGAAGAATTGCATCATAGAGCATTGCAACGCAATGAATGGCATCGCACAACGGTACAGAACAGAACATGGCATAGCATGGCATGGCGTTGAAGATCAAAGCGTAGCATGGCAGAGCATGGCGTGGCACTGCGTAGTCAAGCTGTGAATATCCTACGGTTGCAGCTGAAGGCATGGCATCTCACAGCGGAACACCACATAGCATTGCATTGCATGCCGTGGCGTGGCACTCGAATTAATGACGCCAGCGCTGCAGCGGGAGCACGCGTCGCAACGAGCGGAAGCGCAGAAATGAAGCCAGTGCTGCAGCGGGAGCACGATTCGGAACGAGCGGAAGCGCGGAAATGACGAGATCGACGCGTCCTCCACAAACCCGCCTTCACACAGGGCGGCATGCGACACGTCCTGACCAGCGTTCTCGACGGGCTGCAGTTCATCCACGGGATAGGCTGCGTTCATGTCGACCTGAAGCCAGCAAACATATTCATGCGAGAGGCGATCCACTTGCGCGGTTGCTTCGAGAAAGAGCCGCTGACATAGCGGGCGCACGCGGAATGGGACCCAGCGGCGCCGTCCCCCCAGAGCGAGGCTGAGCTCCAGTACCAAATCCCGAGATCCTTCGAGGCGCGCGGGTGAAGCGCTGTTGGCTGCAACAGTTGGGAGACCAGGGCTGAGTTCTCACCGACTTGGTCAGGGCTCGATTGACATATAACCGACTTTATTAGATCTCCCTTGAAGCTCTAACCACCTTGGTTAGAGCTCGATTTGAAATCTAGCCGACCTTGTTGGATCTCGGTTCGAGCTCTAACCACCTTGGTTAGAGCTCGATTGGGGATCTAACCGACCTGGTTAGATCTCGACTTGAGCTGTAACATACCACGTTATATCTCGATGCGAGCTAGAACCGGCCTTGTTAGATCTCCATCTGAGCTCTAACCGACCACGTTAGATCTCGATGCGCGCTCGAACCGCGCTTGTCCGACATCGATTTGAGCCCCCACTGCCATGGTGGGATTTCATCTCCAACTCACCCCTCCCCCCAGCCAGGGGTCGTCGTCCTGCCGCAACTCTCGCCCCTTCCCCCTGGAGGTCGTCAGCCTCGCCCCCCCTCCTCCTTCCACCCCTCTCATCAGGCGGTGATCGGCGATCTCGGCTGCGCGGGCATGGACCACGTCAGAGCGAACAACAAGTTGAAGCCCACCGACCACGAGATCCACGCGGGCACGCCACAGCACAGGCCTCCAGACGTCTTCTCATGGAACCAGCGCTTCGCAGAGGAGTTCGGCGCGCGGCCCCTCGGGTGCGCGGCCGCGGAGTTACACTCACGTCAGCCGCTCCCCCTCGCAGAAAGGCCGACCCCCATGGACACGGCGCGGGCCATCACGGAGATCGCGGGGCGCCCAGGCCAGGAGGCTGGAACAGCTCGGGTGCCAGAGTACCCAGCCACGTGGCTGGATTCCTTGCCGTTCTTCAACAAGTGGTACAAGCAGTCGGGCCAGGCTTGGCTGACGCCCGAGAGCGCGCCTCGAAGGCTCGCGCCGTCGCGGCCCCCCGCGCGCCTCGAAGGCCGCCCCAAAGGCCCCACCGAGCTCATCCGAGAATGTTCGGCGCGGCACCCGTCCGCCAGAACGACCGCCGCCGAGGCACCCAGAGCTTCACGCAGCCGATCGGCCAGGAGCCACGTGCCCACGTGGCCAAGCAGCAAGGCAAGAACGGGTCTGGAACGATAGCGGAGGCAGACCTCGACCCAGATTTGCCCCACTTCTTGCAGACATGCCCCAGCTGGAACAGCCTGGCCGAGAAGCGCCTGCTGACGGGAGCTACCGAATCGAAATGCGCGCGGAAGGACGAGGCGGCCCTGGGCCCGAGATCGCAGGCATCGTGGACGAAGATGGCCCTCCGAAGTGCCGCAGAATGAACAACGGCACGAACTTGCAGCTGACCCCGCCGAAACGCTTCGCCGCTCTCGTGCGAGCGATTTGGAAAAAGCGCCGCCCTTGGCTGGAACAGCTGGAATACAAGATGCGCGAGGCAATCAAGCACGACCATATGCCATCGGAGATCTACGAGAAGGGCAGGGCGCCCATCTTCAATGAGAACTTCGCCGACAACGCGTTCGCGCACGCCTCCACCCAGCTCACGCAGCCAGGCGCACGGGACGATGGGCGGCACACCGACGGCGGGCGCAGCCTGTTGCACGCGTCGGCGACGCTGTTCGGGGCACGCCCCGTGGAAGTGAAGGTGGAGGGCCAACCACCAGTCACCCTCGAACAAGTGCCCGGCTCGTTCTGTTCCACGCGGGCAGCCTCTCGGCCCTCGAGCACAACGTCCGCCACCACGAGGAGCGCAAGCACACCCTCGACGGAGCGGCTGCAAAAGCCAGGGGCGACGACGGAGCGGCTGACCAGAACCATCGCCTGCAGATCGCCATCAAAACCCCGGTCCGACGTGTTCCGCGACTTCAGGGCGCGCAAGATCAAGTCCACGCCTGGCCCTAAGGAGCTCTTCCACGTCGCCAACTACGCCGTGGCCGAGCACTTGTCCGATGTCCCCGTGGCGCTCCCTGACCTGACCGAGGTGCTGACCGATTTTGCGCGCACTGACCGCATCAGGCAGCGACTTGCTACCGATGCTGCTGGTGATAGCGACTGGGCAGCGCTGGCGGCTCGACTGTAACAGTCCTAGACATTTTCTGACGGAGACCTCGAGTTTCGATGGCTTCAAAAACACCGCGGAGAAGGGAGCCCGTGGGCTCACGGATGCTAGCGGGAGCTACGTCAGCCCCGACGCTCACCGACCTTGTTGCCGTATTTGCGGCCGCCGACATGGGGAACGAGTATGGTGTGCCTACTGTTCGCGGCCTGTTGGCCATGGATGCTGTTCGCATGCTGGTCATGCTGGAAGAGCTAGGCTAGTTGTTCCACCATGACCAGCACGTGAAAAGATCAACGTCTTCATGAACGTTATCTCCATCATCAACGTCATCGTCATATTAAGTATCATCAACATCATAGTCATACTTAACAGCATCGTCATCAGTAGCGCCATCGTTTTCGAGCCGTCGCTATCGTTACGAATGTCAGGATTTATGCGGGCAATAGACGATGATGATGTGACGGTGACGACGATGACGATGACGATGGTGATGAAAAAACATGATGGTGACGAGGGTGATTACGAAGACGATGATGATGATAACGTCGATGAAAAGAAAATGTTGATGATGAGCATGGTTTCGAGGTTGAGTCGGTTGAGTCCGAAAAGCCCGCCCTAAAAACAGCCAGTGGTTTCTGTTTGGGCGACGTCAAGGTCGACCTCTCGGCTCTGTTTTGGTCGGCAGGGAACTTGTGCAACTCCCATTTGGTAGAGGACGCCGCCAACGCGGGGTGGCGCGGCTATGGTAGCTTGGGACACAGGGGGACGGGGAAGTCCTTCTCTATTCCTTGGTAGTCAGTGTTCTTGGAACCACATGCGATCATGGCGGGTGGGGCGTCTTGACAGCGCGGCTGCGAAAGCAGCCGTTCGCCGTCGTCGTGGCCGCGAAAGGAAATGCTGGCACAGTCGGACCGAGGCATAAGATCGAGGTCGGCTTTAGGACGGTACCCGAATGTGCTTCTCAGTTGTTGCATGTTCCTGTGCATCCTGGGGGGATGCACCCACGAATGTTCTTCAGTTTGACCGGCGGAGGGCCTCATGTTCTTGAAAGGAGTTCTTCTGGCTTGGGTCCGACTGTAGTGAATGCGTCGCTTGCTGTGTTTCGCGTCGCGCACGTCGAGACTGGAACGGACCAATTTCCTGCGTCGAGGCCGACGAGCGGACGCTCCTCAGCGTCTGACGCGCCGCCGCCCCCGGGCTGGGGCTGGAGCCCCACCCTAGCGGAGGCCTTCGGTGCGCTGGTGG